ATTGGATCTCCTCAGAGTAAAATTAGCAAGACATCATCTACATCAACACCCTCTTCATCCCCGTCGGCAAATCTGTAAGCCGTTTTGGTTACTATATTATTCTGCAACTGTGCTGGAATGTGACCTTTTTTATTTTTGATTAATCTGATTCCTTTCAAATGATCCAGGTTTGTGTAACCGCTAGCAAAGGTGAAGGTTGAAAAACTGGAATCTTCAGGATCTAGGGGACCTGAAAGTGGAAGCTCCGACGGACCTGCTCAGAGTCCATCAGCCTTCTCGCTTGAGAACATGGCTTCGCCACAGACATCTGTCAAGAAATCCTCGGCCAAGCGTCTCCTGTACGAGAAATAAGGTATTGGGTGTGCTTACAACATTGCATCCAAAATTCCAGTGTTCTGTTATCGTGCAATCTCATCCCAGGATTGGTTTGTCATGAACAAAATTTTGTTTGTCTATATTACTTTGTAGGATCACGTTTGGAGCTCGAGGGAGTTATTGCTGGTACTTTGAAGTTAGCTTTTGAAGGTGCCAAATCCTCTTTTGGAGGTGTTTGGGAAATCGGAAGTTCTCAGGGTGTGTGCATCTATATCCATAATGAATTTTGTTTGTGAAGTGTGTACATCTAATGTTTCTACCACATCCTACATTATTAAACTATATTTTGTTCTCAAATGTTTGTGCTAAATTAAATCTAACATTTGAAAATCGAACTTTGACAGTAAAAATTTTACTAATTGATGCTCTTTTGGTGATTATAGAAAATTAGATGCAAGTATATCTATGTGATGCTAACAGGTCATCATTGCTTTCATTAGCATATGCTTATGTCACCAATTGAGTATTACTGACACCTATCAATTTTCATTTAATGCTATGTACCAAACAGATTTATAATGATTACATGGGGATATATAAAAAAGTAGTTTAGTAAGAGCAAAATTTATATCATCCATTTATTCTCAAACAGTGCTTCTCCTGCTCAAGTCTATGATTCTCACAGTTTCCTTTCCTAACTGCCATAAATACACCAGAGCTTCTGCAGAGAAACAGTTAAGCTTGGAATATTCCTATATCATGTTGCAGAACTCATAGAATCTATAGTCATGTGAGTTATTCTGAGGTTCATTCATTCATTCCTAGATTAGTCTGTATGTCATTCATTAGTTTGTTAGTCTTTTATTCATTCTGCAGACTTGGATGACATCCATTCTTTACCATTATTGCGCATCGAAGCTTCCATGTAAGGGAAACTTCAATAATTTCTGTTTTTACTACATTAATGTAGCATGACACCAAGAAAGAAGCCAACAACTAACAAGGTGTTAAAACGAAAGTTGAATGGAGATTCTCTAAGTTCTGGAATCACTGATGACACGCCATCTTCTTTTCCACAAGTTCTGATGGACAACACAAGGATTAATAAGAAATCACGCCAGCTTCCTTTTATGCTCTCGGTTGAAGATACAGAGCTTTCAGGAAACATTTCCACAATTACAACTCCTAGGGACCCTTACACAACACACATGGAAGGTCAAACCTCAAGGCAGAATCCTCCAAGTAATGGGCCGAAGAAGAAATCTGGCTTTGCCAGCAAAGAGGTTTGCACTGCAAGAAAACCACTGCATAATGATATACTGAATGTTGGAAAACCAGAATGTGTTTGTCGGTTCTGTGGGGCATTGTTTTGGTACTATAAACGATTGGATCGTCATAGAAAGACAGCTACTCCGGTGTATACTCTGTGTTGTCAAAAAGGAAGAGTGAAGCTCCCATTATTGAAGCAGCCACCTCCCCTTCTTGCCCAGTTACTTGACATCAATGGTGGAGCATTATCAAAGCATTTTAGAGAAAATATAAGGTCTTATAATGGGTCGTTATGTTTCACATCTTCTGGAGCAAACTGGATCCTCGATCTCTAACAAGTCGAGGACCTTATTCGATGGTGATTTGCGGAGAGAACTATCATAGAATTGGTTCCTTGCTGCTAGTTGAAGGAGAACGACCAAAGTTTGCTCAACTATATATCTTTGAATCCAAAATTTGAAGCGCTGCACTTTCCTTTATTATTTCCTTATGGAGAGGATGGTTTTCACCCCCAAATCTCATATAACATTTCCTTCTGTCCTCCATCAATGTGCAGGAAGTTTGTTACGCAAAGAGAATACTATGCTTTTAGGCTTCAGTATCGGATAGGTGAAGGCCATACATTGGTCAAGAGTGGAAAAGCGCTACAACACTATTGTGTTGATGCATTTTCAACAATAGAGCTCAATCGATTGGCATTCCTTAGAACCCATCAAAAGGACCTGAGATCTGAAGTGTATCAAGGTTTGGAAGATGCATTTGCTAGAGGAGATATGGACGGTGAGAAACTTGGTCGTATTATTATACCTTCTTCATACACCGGAGGACCTAGATATATGCAACAACTTTATCACGATGCCATGGCAACCTGTCAGCACTATGGAAATCCTGATTTGTTCATTACATTTACGTGTAATGCACTTTGGGAAGAAATTGTTGAGGCGTTTGCAGATGTGGTGGGTTTGAACAGTGAGTTGAAGCCAATGGTCGTTTGTCGGGTATTTCATATGAAACTAACCAAGCTCATTGATGAATTCAAACGAGAATCGTACTTTGGCAAAACAATAGCAAGTAAGTGTTTTATACTTGATTTTATGTTATGCATATTTTGACATTCAAGAACCATATTTCAGCCCAGTAATCATTTACAAAGAGTGTGCTGGTAAATACTAATACAGGCATATTAGTTCTACCATTAGTTTTGTGTCAGTTAGTGCAGGTTATATTATCAAATACTCAAATAGACATGATATTTTTTTATAAACTTGCAGTGAGTGTTACAAAGTACTAATGGATACACAAATTCTTTTCTCCAGTTATTTATACTGTCGAATTTCAAAAAAGAGGCCTCCCTCATGTACACATGCTGATATGGTTAGCCAAAGAGGATAAACTAAAAACAATCAGTGACATTGATGAGATGATTTCAGCAGAGATTCCAGATCCTCATGTAGATCCAGAAGGATATGCAGCTGTGGTCAAGTTCATGCTTCATGGACCATGTGGAATTGACAACCCTAAATCACCTTGCATGAAAGATGGGAAGTGTTCAAAGTTCTTCCCCAAAGCATTCAGCACTGAAACTTCATTTGACAAGTTTGGAAATGTAGTCTATCGACGTAGAAATTCTGGAGTACACGTGAAAAAAGGAAAAGTTATGCTGGATAATAGATATGTCGTTCCATATAACAGGAATTTACTGGTTAGAGCTCAGGCTCACATTAATGTTGAGATATGTCATAAAGGAGGATTGGTGAAATACTTATTTAAGTATATCACTAAAGGACCAGATAGATCCCTCATTATTGCTGAAGATTCAGTGACTTCAAAACAAGTTCCCTCCACAAATTCAAAGAAGTCAAAAGATGAAATACAAGAATTCATTGATTGTAGATCCTTATCCTCTTATGAAGCTGTCTGGAGAATCAATGAATATCCTATTCATCATAGGGAACCAAACGTTGTCCGACTTGCAGTACACTTGCAAGGGCAACAAAATGTTCCTTATAAGAGGCAATCAAATGTGAAAAACATTCTGAAGAATCCCAGAGCTGGCAAAACACATCGGACAGCTTGGTTTCAACTTAATAGACAGGACCCTGATGCTAGAAAGCTAACATATGCTCAGATACCAGGTTCATACACATGGGATGAAGAATACAATGAGTGGACATTGAGGAAAAGAGGATTTGTCATTGGAAGAATTGCTTATGTTCCTCCAAGAAGCAGTGATGTCTTTTTCCTTAGACTATTGTTGACAAAGGTACAAGGAGCAACCAGCTTTAATGACTTAAGGACTGTTCGAGGAGAGCTCTGCAGTACTTATGAAAAAGCGTGTGAAAAATTAGGTCTCTTATCTTATTCTTCAGAATGGATTAAGGTTCTTCAGGAAATATCAACTTCAAGCATGCCAAATCTGATAAGGAGCACCTTTATTTCAATGCTCATGTTTTGTAAAATACCTAATCCAACTGCTTTGTTCGAGTCGTCTTGGAGACTTATGGGTGAAGATCATGCATATTATCTTCGAAAGCAGCTTCATTCAAACACATATCAGCCCTCAGAGGAGAGACTGCGAAATTGGGTGCTTCATCAACTGGAAACCTTATTGAGATCTTATGGTTCCTCCCTCGAACATTTCCACCTTCCTAAACCAATAGATTCACAACCTGATGATGGTTCAAATCCCCTGATAAACCAACATTTAAACTTTGACACTACTCAGGAACAACAAGCTGCAGAAGAAATGCTTTGCGCACTCAATGCAAATCAATTTGAAGCTTTCTCATCAGTTATGCTATCAATCAACAACAATCTAGGGAAGTCCTTTTTCTTATATGGACACGGAGGAACAGGCAAGACATTCCTGTACAATGCAATAATCACAAAGCTCAAGAGTTTGTCCAAAATAGTGATTGTTGTTGCTTCCTCTGGAATTGCAGCAACACTACTTCCAAATGGCACAACTGCTCATTCTAGATTCAAGATCCCACTCCACTTGGACAACACATCGAAATGTTCTATAAAAAAGGGTACACATTTAGCTGAACTAATATGCGAGGCTTCATTAATTGTTTGGGATGAAGCGCCAATGACACATCGACATGCATTTGAGGCAATTAGCAGGACATTTTGTGATCTGATGGAGATTCCTCTATCTAGAACAGGACATAAACTATTTGGGGGTAAAACAATTATTTTAGGTGGAGATTTCAGGCAAACTTTACCTGTCATTGCATATTCAGGAAGGGAACAGACAGTTGATGGATCAATCACAAGATCACCATTGTGGAATTCTTTTCAGATGCTGAGACTTTCAAAGAATATGAGACTAAATGATTCACAAGAAAACAATGTGATAGTAGGCTGTGGCCTTAAATTTGGAGAATGGGTTCTCGCTCTTGGAGATGGAAAGTTGGATACAAACTCCTTTAGTTCGAACACTCATTCAGACTGGATTGAGATACCAGAAATATTTCTGGTGATTCCTGGAAAAAATCCACTTCAATCAATAATAGAAGAAATATATGAATCATTTGCAGATTGCTATAAAGACACAAAGTACCTAGGAGGAAGAGCGATTGTGACTCCAACAAATGCTGTTATTACTGAAAGGGCTGTGTATCAATAGGACCACCACAAGTTCTAGTGCTACAGGATGAGAATCAGCCAAGGAGGATGAAACATGGTAGGTGCCTGGATAACTGCTAAAGACTCAGAATTCCAGCACTCCATGCATAAAGAGCTACGACCGTCGAGATAGATCTAGTTCCAAGGGCTAGGTTGGCGAGCATCCCGAAATGCTGAGGTGCCACCAGATGCTAGGGGAGAAGGAGAAGATGGAGTGTAATTTGTCCCAGATATGGATACTGTGGGCGGTGCGTTTGTCGGATGATTTTGTTGCCCTGTTGGTGCAAACCGTGATGGGCTGGCTCCCAAACTTGTTCGCGGTGGGAGGGGTGGAACCTATGAAAGTTACAAAAGAAGAAGACGTGTCTCACCTCAGGTTGTTTTTCATACAAAAGAACTGAACAAAGAGACAACCGCAAAACACAGAAAGGGATTTCCAGACCCCAACCAATACTAATTCGGAAGACAAAACACTAATGAATATTTACAAATAAGGGAAACAACAGCAAATCAAAGTACCCACATCCTCATTTTTTTCTGTACAAGGCTAAGGGCTTCTGTTGATGAATTGTATTCGGAAATTTGAAGAATAACTCCAAAAGCTAGATATAAACAAGTAAAAACTTTAATAACAATTATCAACCAAATCAAACTCTTACTTTGGCCATCTGAAACTTGTTAATTCTTAGCACTCAGCCTGTCAATCAGTCTGGCCTAATACTCTTGTCACCTAATGGATGCAGCTAATACATATCCCTATGACATAATATCGTTAGTTCACGAGTTGAGACAGACAAATCCTTATTGCCAGGTCTTCTTAGTACAAAGTTCAGCAAACCACTCAATATTGGTCCCAAATAGTAACGACAAAAAAAAAAAAAAGGCAATCCCAGGCAAAGGAAAAAAGCAAAAAGGAATAGTAAGACTTTGTGCTCTTTATCAATGTGATCGCACAGTATGCAGTAAAATGTTACTTACCACATTGTAGGGGGGTCTTCTAAGGGGAGACTCTGAAGATGGAGAAATACTGCTCATTCTTTGTAAATAACGAGAATGAACATTTTGATTTGAAACATCGTCATTTTCAGCTTCTTCCATATCTGCACCAAGATTAGCCTCTGACCCCATCCCAGGAGTGACGTGTCTGATCATCGACCCAGAATCATTCGTGACATCTACTTGAAGCAGACCAGAGGGACGAGTTGTCATCGCCTGCACAGTGCTTCGTCTCTTCAGCTCTTCCTCGCCATTTAATAACTGTCAAGTGAGAGCACATACTGCATACTGATCTAGGGAAAATAGGTGATGAAGCCAGAGGGTAGAAGTTGTTAAACAAGAAATCTAGTACAAGTTCCTAGAGTTCCTCATATGTTGATGTCCACTTTCTTTCATTTCCAGCCAGTTCCCGATGGATTCAAATACAATAATGTAAAAAAAAAATCGTTTGTAAATAGGACAACAAATTCTAACAGAAACAAGATTACTGAATTTGAATCTTTTGACTATGACGAACCTGATAGAGACCCGCACGGGTAGGGGGGTCGGGTTGGGTTGGCCGACTGGGCCGGGTTGGTTTCCTTTGTTTTATTACTCCTGTGTTAGTTCTGAAACTCATAAATAGGTTTCAGCACATTCATTTACGGTTAAGCAATAATAATATCAAAATCCCTAAATCCCTCTTTTCTCTGTTCTTCCTCAATTCTTCTTCCAATCCCTAATTCTTCTTCTAATCCCTAATCCTTTCTCAATTCCCAATTCTACTTCACAACCCTAAACCCTACTCATCTCTATCAATTGGTATCAGAGCCAACATGAGCTCTGCTAGGCTCTCTGATCCCTCTTGGACACGGCTGCTGCAGCGGATTGACGCTTTCTGCGCCAACCGGGAAGTTGAGGCGTGCGAGGAGGACTGCCCCACGGAGGCAGCTGGCGGGCCGCGCGTGCTGGCGGGCCGCGCGTGCTGGCGGGCCGCGCGTGCTGGCGCGGGCGACACCGCCGCGCGAAGGGCAGGCGGTCGGGGACGGGGCGGCAGCGCCCGGCGGGTCGGCGGAGGCGGGAGAGCCGCGGCGCGAGCCGCGCGCGGGAGAGCTTCGCGGCGGGGGACGCTCGCCGCCGAGCGCGCGCCGAGGCGGCGAGGCGGAGCACCCAGGGGCGGACGGCGGGGGTGACAGGATGACGCCGGTGGCTCCGGGGATCTCGCTCCACTCAGTGACCGGTCTCCCTACGCCGGGAACACTCCGTTTCCGAGCTGAGATAGCTGGCACTACTGCTCTGGCGTTGGTGGACAGTGGCGAGACTCTTAATTTCATCAGCGAGGAACTGGCTAAGCAGATTCCTCAAAAGCCGAGCGAGGTGGACTCTATGGTGGTCAAGGTTGCCAATGGCGCCCCAATGCGGTGTCGGGCAGTGTATCGGCAGCTGCCTTTCGAGATTCAAGGGCTGCCCGTCACTGCCGAAATGTATGTTCTACCCATCCGCGGGTTTGACTTGATCTTGGGTGTTCCATGGTTGCAGGAATTGGGACCGGTGACTACTGATTGGCGACATCTGACTATGCGGTTCAAGTGGAGAGATAAGGAGTGGAGTATGCAAGGGCTGACGACGGCCCTAGGGCCCATTTCGATCCATGAGTGCACGGCGGAGGGCGAGGCTGAGCTGGCTGTCCTCTGCTGGCCCACGGTGGCAACCGATGCGAAGGAGCTGGCCCCCGATCTGCAGCGGGTACTAGATGCATTTCCGGAGCTCTTCCAGGCACCTACCACACTGCCGCCCCACCGGCAGGTTGATCACCGGATCCAGCTCAAGGATGGTGTGGAGGCTGTGAATGTCCCACCCTATCGGTATGGGCACTCGCAAAAGGAAGAGATCGAGCGCCAGGTGGAGGAGATGCTCGCAACCGGGCTAATCCGCCCTAGCACTAGTCCTTTTTCTTCGCCGGTCCTCCTGGTCAAGAAAAAGGATGGGACTTGGCGGTTCTGCACAGATTACAGGGCCCTCAATGCTGCGACGGTGAAGGATCGGTTCCCGATTCCCACAGTAGACGACATGCTCGACGAGTTCCATGGCTCAGCCTATTTCACTAAGCTCGATTTGCGAGCCGGGTATCACCAGATCCGGATGCAGGAGGAGGATGCGCACAAGACCGCCTTCAGGACTCATAACGGCCATTATGAGTACTTGGTCATGCCCTTCGGCTTGTGCAATGCTCCCTCGACTTTTCAGGCGGCTATGAATGACAGCTTCAGACCACTACTCCGCCAGTATGTTCTGGTATTTTTTTATGACATTCTGGTTTACAGTCCATCTTAGGAAGAGCATTTGCAGCATTTGCAGGCAGTCTTTGAGGTGTTGCGACATCACCAGTACTACCTCAAGGCCTCGAAGTGTGCATTCGGGGTGCAGAAGGTCGAGTACTTGGGCCACATTGTCACGCCCCAGGGAGTGCAGGTGGACCAGTCGAAGATACAGGCGATGGTCGAGTGGCCTACCCCGACCACGGTCACGGAGCTGAGAGGTTTCTTGGGCTTGACAGGGTATTACCGGAAGTTCGTGCAGGGGTACAGCATGATCGCCCGGCCCTTGACTAATCTGCTGAAGAAGGGCGGTTTTGCATGGACCCCAGAGGCGGAGACGGCCTTCCAGCGGCTGAAGCAGGCCATGACCTCCACTCCGACTCTAGCTATGCCGGACTTCTCCCGGACCTTTGTGATTGAGGCGGATGCGTCTGGTCGGGGAATTGGGGCGGTGTTATCACAGGACCGCCATCCGGTGGCCTTCATGAGTAAGACCTTAGCCCCCTCCAAGGAGGCGTGGTCTACATACCAGAAGGAGATGCAGGCTATCATCACTGCTGTGCAGATGTGGCGACCGTACCTTCTGGGTCAGAAGTTTCATATCTACACCGACCACCAGAGCCTGAGGAATCTGTTAGAGCAGCGCGTTTCCACTCCTGACCAGCACAAGTGGGTCGCGAAGCTCCTCGGCTATGATTATGAGATACACTACCGGCCGGGGCCCTCCAACGTGGTGGCCGACGGGCTCTCGCGGAGGCCGGGAGGCGAGGTGTTAGCAGCAGTGACGGGACCAGTACCCCAGTTCTGGGACGCCCTCCGAGCCCTGACAGAGACAGATGTATATTTGCGGGAATGCCGGGATACAGCAGTCGGCGAGACTCCGGGCCAGTACTCGTTTCGCCAGGGGCTGGTGTTCTTTCGAGGGCGCCTTGTCCTTCCCCGGGGCTCTTCCCTAGTGACGATTGTGCTTAAGGAGTACCACGATTCCCCTTTTGGCGGACATTCTGGGGTGGAGCGGACCCTGAGGCGGATCCGGGCACAGTTTTATTGGCCTCAGATGGCTCAGGATGTGAAGGACTATGTCGCCTCTTGTGACACCTGCCAGCGGGTTAAGGCTTCCCATCTTAGACCGGCCGGTCTATTACAGCCATTACCGGTGCCGGAGCGGGTGTGGGAGGACATCAGCATGGACTTCATCGTCGGACTTCCTCCCTCCGGTGGTAAGACAGTGTTGTTTGTTGTCGTGGACCGGTTGACGAAGTATGCTCATTTCATGGCATTGGCGCATCCATATACGGCCCGTGCAGTTGCAGAGCAGTTTGTGATGGGGGTTGTACGCCATCACGGGTTTCCGCGGTCGATTGTCAATGACCGGGATTCGGTTTTCTTGAGCCGTTTCTGGCAGGAGGTATTCGCTTTGGCTCAGACGACACTACGCATGAGCTCTGCATACCACCCACAGACAGATGGCCAGACGGAGGTGGTCAACCGGTATTTAGAGCAGTACCTGCGCTGTTTCGCTCACCAGCAGCCGCGGCGGTGGTTAGCTCTGTTACCCTGGGCCGAGCTATGGTATAATTCCACATATCATAGGGCGATTCAGACGACCCCGTTTGAGGCGCTGTACGGGCGACCACCACCTACATTGGTGCGCTACCAACAGGGCGCCAGTCAGGTGGATGCGGTGGACCGCTGGCTCGGAACGCGGGATGAGGCGTTGGAGCAGCTCAAGGCCAATCTGGCTGCTGCTAATAACAAAATGAAGCAGTTGGCTGATGCCGGCAGGCGGGAGGAGAAGTTTGAGGTGGGGGACTGGGTTCTGCTTCGCCTACACCCCTACAGACAGGCATCCGTATTCCGGCGAGCCTATCAGAAGCTGGCTGCCCGATACTTTGGTCCCTATGAGGTGCTGCAGAAGATTAATTCAGTGGCCTATCGTTTGCAGTTACCGGCAGATGCGCGTATTCACCCTACCTTCCATGTGTTGTTGCTGAAGCGCTACAGAGGAGCCGCGGATCGGGTGGAGACGACGGCGCCGCCAGTCTCTGCCGATGGTGATCTAGTACTTACCCCTGTGCAGGTTGTGGATACCAGGTGGGTTCGGAAGGGCGGGCGGCTGATTGAGGAGAGTTTGGTTCTGTGGAAACACATGACGCGTGAGGATGCTACCTGGGAGGAGACTGCCGAGCTACGACAGCGTTTCCCGACATTTGACCTTGAGGACAAGGTCATTTCTGATGGGGAAGGGGATGATAGAGACCCGCACGGGTAGGGGGGTCGGGTTGGGTTGGCCGACTGGGCCGGGTTGGTTTCCTTTGTTTTATTACTCCTGTGTTAGTTCTGAAACTCATAAATAGGTTTCAGCACATTCATTTACGGTTAAGCAATAATAATATCAAAATCCCTAAATCCCTCTTTTCTCTGTTCTTCCCCAATTCTTCTTCCAATCCCTAATTCTTCTTCTAATCCCTAATCCTTTCTCAATCCCCAATTCTACTTCACAACCCTAAACCCTACTCATCTCTATCAGAACCCATGTAATAAAATGACTAAAATGAGGATGAGATGGAATCATAAATTACCTGCTTTAGAAGTTGCACTAGATTATGTTTCTTTGCATTCAAAATTTCCAATTTCTCCTCAACCTCTTTCTCCCTTTTTGCTTTTTCACCTGACAGCTCAGGTTTGTCTTTTGCCTGGGAAGAAACATATGAAACCAGAGTTCATCGTCAGATAAAGAAACATTGTAGAGCAGAAAACTAAAGATCATAGAAAGGGCTAGTAGGCACTGACAATTTCAAGAAACCTCCTAAATGAAGCTAAAGCGATTCTGATATAAACTTAAATGGATTCCTATGAGGAACATTATTAAATACAACAACCTAACATTTGCAAGTCAACTCCTAACATTTTAAATACAACAACCACCAAGAAAAAAACTTTCTAGTATCACTTCTTAAGTTGTAACATAGTCAGACAACGTAAACGATCACATAAATTCTGAACCAAACCAAGGAACATTATTACCATAGCACTCGTTACGGGCTGTCTAATTTTCTGTCAAAAGGAATCACCATGCTTCTGGTACTCCTGTATTTAACAAGAATGACGAGTGGCACAAGCCGTTGTCCCTGTTACTAGTTCCTTCAAAATCCTTATATAGAGGTAGGCCAACAGCCAACTAATACTGCAACCCCCCTAACCGTCAATGACGTTCATGATAACAATGGTCATGCAGCAGATTGCATAAAAAAAGCTTCAGAAGCTTAACAATCTATCACTTCACAACTAGACTCCACAACTAGAAATGGAAGAATATGTAGCCTAGTTACCAACTTGAAACACATCATAAACACTTTCCAAACAAATGAAATCGTCAGAACATGAAAATTCTTCCACATGAGTACCTCCGCAGTAGGTTCAGCTAATTCTTCCAGCTTCACGGCGAGCAAAGCCTGCAAATCTCCATCACCATTGACAACCTCAACTCGGCCTTTCTCAGCTGCTTGAGGATTCTCAACAGGCGCATCATCCAGCTTCATCGAGCAATCTCCACCGTTTAACAACCCCCGGTCCTCTTCAGCACCTTCTCCAACCCTCCCGGAAGGCCCTTCTTCCTCATCGCCACGATGATTCGTATCATCAACAGCTTTCATCTCCTTCAACTGAGGCGTAGTAGGATCCCCAGCTTCCTTGGAATCGTGTTTGGTAGAAATGGTAAGGTCAGGGTTAGGGTTAGAGGTAGTGCCGGCGGCGACAAGGACGGTGGATGGGGAGCGGAGGTGAGAGAGAGCCCTGGAGCGACGGTTGAGGAGGGATTTGAAGTCCCTGAGAGAGAGGTTTCGGGTGGGCATCAGCCATCGACGAGGGGCATCGGGGACTCGGTGGAGATTCCCCCTGTAAAGCGAAATCGCCACCATGTCTTCCAGTGCTTCGACCTTGATTTTGCTTTTCAAGCTTCTTCTTCTCTTCTTGCTCGGCGGTTGAGAAACGAACCCTCCCCCTGCCCTGCCGAAGTATCGGAGTCGCCGAGTCGGGAATTTGGTCTGTCAGTCACGTGTTTCGTCAATCGCCAAAACTCGGATAGTGACGGATACTCGGTAGTCGGAACGACATGTCCTCGACTTTGAGACCGTTTCATAAAACGACGCAGCTCTGGGTCGTGAGTTGAGTTGTGCAGTGTCTGCCTAATTATTCATTTACTAAAAACTGTAACGGGCCATGATGGAACTGGCCCAACAACCTCGAACCCAAACCAAACTACAAAGGACCATCAAGCCTACTCTGGAACCACGAACCTGAACGGTGAACTCCCTGGTCATCTGACATATTCCGTCGAAGGAAACTAGGAGCTTTTTGTTGGATTTTTATTTTTTTCCCTCGTCAGTGTCGTTTCTTTGCTGCTAGGAGCTTCTTCAGAGCTTCCAAATAGTGGCTTAATAGGCTCTTTCATCGGTAGTCTGTTTGCATATGGACTAACGCATAGGGTTTGAGTCGGTCTTGTAATCGTATCAAGTCTTTGTCCCATGCTTTTTGGGCTTGCCTTGGAAAAAAAACCAATTGTGCATATAATGTATGTATCTAAAATGATCAATGATCATCTATATATTATTATGCCCAAATTCACCTGTATAGCCAAAACTTTGACGGTTTTGCCAAATATAGCCACTTTTGGGGAAATAGCAGAAATAGCCACTTCCGTTCAATTGTTTGACGGTGTTAGTTAACGTGCTGACTGGACAAACGACAGCGGTTGATGTGGCATATTTTATTCAAAAATAATGTAAGTGGAAAATAAACAAAATTCTATCTTTTTACAATTAAATAAAAAATTATAAAAATAAAAAACAAAATTATCTTTCTCTCTATCACCAACACCGCCTGTTCACCTCCCCTTCGTCTCGCTCTTCTTCACGCTGATTTCCCCGCTTTCTCGACCTCTTCCAGCCTCGAAATCACGTTGCTCGCGCGGCCGAGTCGTGGCGAATCTCAGCTATTCCTTCTCCATCCTCTTCTTCTCCCCGAACAGCGGCGAGAGATCGAACCCTTCGGACAGAGAAATGATGTGGAACGCGTTAAGGGTCTCCTTCGAATTCTCCGATTTCGCTTCGTCTTCTTCGCAATTGAACGCGTCGAATTCGATCTCCTCCTTGCTGCGTACGGTTTTGGGGATGGATTTTCTGAACCAGGACGACTCCATGACCTTCGAGATGGTGATTCGGCTCGCCAGATTGGGGTCGAGGAGCTTGGTGACGAGGCGGCGGGACTTGGAGGAAAACCACGACGGACATTTGAAGTCTCCCCTGTAGATTTTTCTATACATGGCGACCAGATTGTCGTCTTGAAAGGGGAGTAGGAGGAGGTTCTCTGGGTTCAGATCTTGGTGGTAGACGCCGGAGCTGTGGCAGAAATCGATGGCGGAGATCAATTGCTGGAAGTAAACCCTAGCGGCGTCTTCCCTCAGCCGGCCTCTGGCGACCTTGGAGAAGAGCTCGCCGCCGCGGACGAGCTCCATGGCGATGTAGATCTTGGACTTGCTCGCACCTGACGTGGCAGTGTTCGATCCCAGCCTCTCGATCTTCCCAAACTTACCCAATCCACAATTCGAGCCGCCGTCGTCGCCTAACTCTTCTTCTCATCTGATTTCGAGTCGCCGCTTCGGCAGAAGAAGAAGAGGCGCTCCAACTGCCGTTGTAACTCCCGTTGGAGATTCTTCCAGATCTTGAAACTCTTGCCCGCCTCTCCGATTCCGAGGGCATCATCCTCCCCGGGTAAACCTATCGCCGCCATCGAATTCGGCGCCGCTCCGGTTCATCTCCTTGTCCAACATCTTCACCACTCGTCCGATGGAAATGGATTGGGCGAGGAATAGAGAGGAGAAGTGTGTAGGTTTTGAAATTGGCTTCTGGGTAGGATGAAGATGATGACGGGATCGCGGCGGCAGGGAGATGTGTCGTAGTGATGGTGGTGATTAGGTAGTGATTTATTTATTATTTTATTTATTAATTGTTTTATGGTAATTATTTTACCCATTAAAAATGACATGGCATCCCACCGGTCAATGGATGCTGAGGTGGGAAGGAAAGACACGGTGAGGTGGCAGCCACATCAACTGTCCGTTAATTAGAATAACGGTGTCATTGACGCCGTCAAACTATGTAACGGAAATGGCTATATTTGTCATCAAACTTTCAAAAATCTGGTTATTTATGGTATTTCTCCAAAATTGGCTATATTTGTCACAACCGTCAAAGTTTTGGCTATGCAAGTGAATTTGGCCTATTATTATTATTATTTACTTAATTGACTTCAAATATTTATTTTTATGATTAATGCATTGATGTATGGTCGATGTGGTTAGTGTGAGAGAACTAGACGGTGTTGGTGGAGTAGAAAAAGATGCGCAATTTTGCAAAGGGAAAATAAGTAAAACTAACCCAAAGATTTGAATCGTAAGATTTTAAAGATTTTAAAGATTTAAATCGTAAATAGTGTAAGATTTTAACGTCTATAGATTTTATAGTGAAATCAGGATCAAAATATGTAAATAAAATTGTAAAATAATAGAATTTTAAGATTTAAATCGAGATTTTAACTGCTTTGCAATATTTTCACACTTCATTAATAAAAAAGAAATTTAAAACTAAGGCAATGGAAGAGATACCTTGCCATGGGGTAACTGAGTGACAACCACACATATGGTTTATGGGGTGGAGTGTCTAACAAACTCTTATATTTTGAGGAATTTGATGGATGTATGAAGCCACAGTGACAATGAGAGTACAATGAGAGTAAGAATCCTAACCAGACATGGTAAAAACACGATATGGCATGGTAACCGAATTAATAGAGGCCATAAGTAAGGATAAATCGTTTAACTGTCCGTTAACCGAATGTACTGATGAGATAATGGTTTGGGCTTTTGGTTAGTACGTTAATGTGTTAGGGTTAATTATGGGTCTAATTGCTTAGGGTTAGTAGGTAGGTTATTAGTCTATATGCATGGGCCGAGTATGCATTAGAGTTGGATGCCAAGTTGGAGTACGTAGTTGAGTCGGGTAGGTTTAGTATTTAGTATTAGGTTTAGTGATCTATATAAATATGTAACTACGACATTAGTCCGATTAATGAATCAATAATAAACCTAAAAAGTCTTTCGACACTCTACGTCGTTCTCTCGCTTGTGAGTTACAAGCAAAACCCTAACTCGAGTAAACGAGTTGCTATCATGTACAAAGGAGAAGAATTCCCCTTCCTTTAGGTGGCGACAAGATGCACGATTAGCGAGACATAAAAACAAATACCTCCTCGGCATCTTGTGAATCAATTATGTTAGTGGAGGGCAAGCTTGCCCAATGAGAGCAGGCCAGGCCAAACAAGTGGGAGAACTAAGTATTGCAGGTCTTAGTTGAGTGTGGTACATGGTCGCCGGAGGCTTGGTAAAAGAAAATGAGAGGTAATGTTATTATGTTGAATTTGCTGCCGAGTGTTATCAGGAAGGAACAAAGAGATGATTTTTCATTATCACTTGGGATTGTGCGAGCTAGGTGTGACAAGGAACCAGAAACAATAATCTTTCCAAGATTTACAAGTTAGCACTTGAGCTACAATCAATCTTCTATTACGTGGTTTTAGATTAAGCCAAGATGCGACCACGATGCGGTTGATGGGTTTGGTTTGGGTGCCCTAAGGAAGTTGATACTTGATTTAAGTGTTCTAGTTGGTGTTAGCAACTTAGTAAATAATACTTATACACTAAGTTATGGGGCATATGTTTGCTCATAAAACATTAATTTCTACCACATTGATTAATTACAAGAAACTTAATGACTTTATAAGACCACTTCAATATTAGATATTATATGAGCTAGTTGTACCTTATTCGGTTTGCCTTTTGGGCCCAAGTGGCCAAGCTCCCTCTTTGTGTCTAGGTGGCCGACCGCCCCCATGGCCTAGATAACCGACGCCTCCTCGCCTTGTAACAAGCCAATTGGTATGAAATATGGCTCTTAAAAAGTAAGTCTGGAAACAAGGCAGGCTTGGTAGCTAGCCAATAGGTTACCAAGCCGACAACACATGCTTGGTACCAAGACATGAAATTTGGCCAAGTATGGAACCAACATGGTACCAAGCGAGCAAGGCACGTTTGGTACCAAGATATGAAATTTGATCAAGTATGGAGACAAGAGGTACCAAGCATGCAAGGCAGGCTTGGTACTAAAACACCAAGAGGGTATCAAGCCGACAAGGCAGGCTTGGTACCAAGGAGAGAGCCAGTTTTAATATACTTCGAGGAGATACAGATTACACACAGAGGAGTATGGGAAGTATTTATAGTACTTGCCTTGTGGATTCACCAACTCGTAACATTCAGCAGTCCAAGTAGTGTTGGAACTTGCCATGTGCAATCGGCTTCGTGAACATGTCAGCAGGATTGTCAGTAGTGCCAATATTCTTCACCTTAATCCTTTTCCCTATTCTCATGAAATGATACCTCGCGGTAGGGGTGGGCATTGGTATGGTTAAACCACTCCAAACCGCACCAAAATGCATTTGCGGTCAAAGCAAACCACACAACTAAAATTGCGAGGTTGCGGTTCAAAACAACAAATCACTAAGGTTATGCTCTATCATCAACATCATCCATTAAAAACTTAATCTTCCATTATATCCCCATCGCATTGCTCGCCGCCACCACCGACGCGTTCCTCTCCTCGTCCAGCTCCATCAGCGACTTTCGGTCTAATCTGACCTGCCTCGAGTCCCCGCCCTCTGGCTTCGCCAGAGCATCATTGCCAACCCATATTCAATTATATCTCCATTGCTTTGTTCGCCGCTGCCATTGTCGATGCTGACGCGTTCCTCTCCTTCAACTCCATCTACGACTTCTGGTCTAATTCGACCTGCCTCGAGTCCCCACCTCTGGCTTCATCGACAGAGAACTCGACCCCCTATTGAGCGTCGATTTCTAAAGAGAGCACCAAATCACCCACTAGGGAGTCTTGGTTGTTGAATCTGGTTATGAGTTTTAAACACTCCCCTTGCCCCTTCCTATATAATTTTCTACTAGTCATAGAGTCTATCAGATTGTTGAATCTCGCCAGATCGATAATTGGAGTGGTTAAATGTCCTAGTCTAAGGTTGTTTGTGTTGGCAGGAATACTCATGTCATTCGTACATTACCTTATTAGAAATAAGTTGAGAGCAGTTAGGGGTGAATGTAAGTTTCTGAATTTGGCTTTGGGGAGAGAGGTTTCTTTTTGCAAGTAGCAGTGGTAGTAGAAAAGCAAAAATGATAACTC